TTGAACCGCCAGCCTTCTGGTTAGCAGTCAAGTGCCTTAGGCACTATGCTGCCAGAGCTCTAGAGAGATGCAAATCAAAACAACAAAACACCATCTTGCTCCAACACTAGTAGCAAAATTCAACAAGACAAACAATAACAAATGTTGGTGAGGATGTGGAGACTGGGACTCTAATACATTACTGGTGGGACTGTCCAATGATACAACCACCACTGTGGAAAGCAGTGATCAAGATGGTGGCATTGAGGAAGAGGAAAACAGAGAGGTGAATGGGAGGTACAGACAACAAAGATGAACCCTTTTGCACATACAGTACTGTGTTGTCAGTGATGGCAAACATTGATATATGGGTGGATAGATGGGTGGACAGATTGAACTATTAGGTATGTCTATGCAGGGGGAGTGTGCCCATGACCATGCACAGGGTTGGCAGACAATGTGTCCACAAGTGTATTTGTATGTTCTGTAAGAATTTCCAGGTATAGAGTACAGCTGACAAGGGACAAGGTTGTGGTCACTTCTTGGCCATGGCCAGCTACTTGAAGGGGGTGAGTAGTTGGACCTATGAGCTTGGGACCATGGTCACAGGAGACATCAAGCTCAATTGGCATAACATAGTATACCAAAACATTGTTCCACATCCTACTTTGGTGAGTATCCACCGGGATCTTAAAAGCTTGCAAGCTGCCATCTAGATGTGACAGTGCATCTCTCCTCATCCAGAGCAAAGAAGAGTGAAGAAAACCAAAGGTGCATGGAAACAATTAGTCCGAGGGACTGGTGGATCATGCAATCCTCAGCCTATATTACATGATTTACTAAAAAGCATTCATTATTTACTTCTTTTATGAGACTAGAAGAACTAGATGGTGCCTGGCTACCACTGTCAACCACTTGGAGGGGGATCTATGTAGGAGATTCTGGATAGAGAAGGAGAACAATGTGAAACAAAACTCAAAATCATAAAAAAAGAAAAAAAAGGGGATCAGGTTTGCTGATCTGACTGGTGGATCCCCTGAAACTTTGGCCCCTAGCTGCCTTTCAGGTCTGGAATTGAACCCACTCCTGTGGCCAAAAAAAGACAGGCATATGAGCTGAACATTTACATTAGGTAGATACACTCCTTGGAGAAATCAATCATGGGAGCATAGAAGGGCTGTTTATACACAGGGAGACAGCTTGCAGGGCAGGACTGTATGGGAGAGGACACGGGGAAGAGAAGGCTATGGGGAGGAAGTGGGAGGAGAGCTGTTGCATTGTGGAGATTGCTGTCAATGTCTTGAGACAAAGTGTATGTGAACTGCTGTATGGAAGATGGATTTGCTCTGTAAACTTTCACCCAAATCACAATTGAAAAAAAAAAAATTAATAATGAATGCTTTTTAGTAAATCATGTAACAGTAATTCTGCAACAACATGAATAACAACCAAAAATTTGTTATTGGTTACACTGGTAGATAGGTATGCATATATGTGTACAGGAAGACAGGTTTGAGTATATGCAGGTGTATCTATAGGCATAAATATATACATGTTTGTGTGAGATGCATACATATTTACATATATTATAAAACATATAGGCAGTAGAGTTACAGAGACTTCCTAGACTAACCAAACACCTCATAGGATTGATTTACTGGGTTTGAAGGCTTAGGACCATAGTCTAGTGGGATAACTCAGTCAACTGGCCCAACAGTTTACAAAGTTTATGTTCTACATCCTAGGTTGATGAGTAATATCTGGGTCTTAAAACCTTATAGGTGGTCTTCTAAAATACAACTATTGGCTTCTACTTGTCTGGAACAAATTAGCAGCCCAAACAAACCAAGCACTCATCTTTCCTGAGACCAGAACTAGATGGTGCCTGGCGACCTCTATTGACCGTTCTGAGCAGGGGCATACTTAAGTGTCCCCCATAGAATGGGAGGAAAATGTAGAAAACTAAAATGCTTATAAAAAGGCCTGACTTACTGGACTGGTAGAGACTAGAGGAATTCCCAAGACCGTCACCTTGAGATATTCTTTAAACTTGGAACTGAAACCACTCCCAGAGGTCACTTTTCAACTAAATAATGGACTGGATCATAAAATAAACATCACCAGTGAGTACTAAGCCCTTCTGAAAAAAAAAAAAAAAAGTAAAAATCATCTATATGAAACCAACTGGTAAACATTTACCCCAAAGCAAAGATGAAGTTAGGGAGACAGGGAAGCTAGAGTAATGGAAATGGAACCACCAGAATGGAAATAAAGAGAACGTGAAAAATGTAACAAATGCCATTGAACAATATGTATAGGAATTGTTAAATGTGAACCTAATTCACCAAAAACACAATAAAACATTTTTAAAAAACGACAAGTATTGCTACAATCATACTACTCATGAGTGTGACATAGTACTGAAATAATTTAATACAGTGACTCTCTGTCATTTTTTAACTTGAGTTTAGACCCTCCCTTCTTCACTACTGAAACTGAATCAGCTACAGGAATGGCAACTTCATAGAACTGGATTGTTGAAAATTCCTGAATTCATTGGAAGATTCCAGAATCTGATTGTGTTAGATTTATCTCGAAATACAATTTCAGAGATACCTCGAGGAATTGGTAAGGAACACTGTTGTTATTCTTATGCTATTTTATCCACCTGCAGATGTGTTTTTCATTGAGGAAATTAATACATGGAATAAAGATCTCATCTTTATACAGTCTTGAGAAAAATGTGAACATCTAATCTAATTGGAGCTTTCAGGGGATTCAAGCTTCTTGTTAAGAGTTACTGAGGTGATTCAAGATGAGATTTCAATGTAACGAACATTTATTTGGAGACATTGTGTAGATTCTGGAATCAATACTTTGGTTCAGCTCTAACTCCTGGAAGAGAACTGGTTGGGGGAACAACAACAAAAAAATAGAAATTCCTACACTGAAAAATTCTCAGGATATAGTGCAGATAACAAATGATTTTTGGGGTGGTGGTGGTATAGTATTGACAGAGGTAGAACTTTGTCTCACATACTTCTGTCATGTTGTCAGAAGGGACCATTCCTTGGAGGATATCATGCTCAGTAGAGGATCAATGAAAGAGAGGAAGACCCTCAACGAGATTGATTGACACAGGGGCTGCAACAATAGGCCAAGCATAGCAAGGATTGTGAGGGTGTTGCAGGACTGGCAGTGTTTTGTTCTGTTGTACATAGGGTCACTATGAGTTGGAGCCTACTTGACGCACCTAACGTTGACAGACCTGCTCCTTTTCTGAAGGGGCAGGGCAGAGACTGAGAGAAGGCAAGAACTGTAAATCTGGCAGTATAAAATTGGCAAACAAATTGTTATATTTAATAGCTGGAAACACTATTTTGCATCTATCTGTTCCTTATTGTGTATTTTTTTTTTTTTTTTTTTTTGTAGGACTGCTCACTAGACTTCAGGAATTGATTCTTAGCTACAACAAAATCAAGACTGTCCCCAAGGAACTAAGTAACTGTGCCAGTTTGGAGAAACTAGAACTTGCTGTTAACAGAGATATCTGTGACCTTCCACAAGAGGTCAGAAAGATATAAATGCATACATTTTATTTTCAATCTATTTATGCTATATTTCTCTATCATGTGGTCATTAAAAACAAAACTAATAAAGAAGTGTTTCATTTCAGAAAAAAAAATCAGTGAAAACCATTTTCCATTCTTATAAGAATAATGTATGCTTTTAAAGAAGGCGCTGCTTAATTCACAAGATATGTCTGTTACTCTCACGGTACTGGCATCATTTGTTGACTAGATTGTGATCTTCTTGAAAGCTAGATTGAGCATCTTACTTTTGTCTCCATGCTGAGGGCAGAACTTAGGTTGTACTGGTTATTTAATAAATGCTTTTTAAATGAACAAATTAATAATTAGCCTAAGTCACAGACAATGCACTGACAGAAAAACTCTTGTTTACCAGTTGGTATTTATACAGTCATCAGTTTTGTTATTTTATTATTTTTTTTTTATTGTGATTTGAGTGAAGGTTAGAGAGCAAAGTCACTTTCCATACAGTGGTTCACATGTACTTTGTCTCATGACATTGACCACAGTTTACCATAATGCAACAGCTCCCCTCCCACTTCCTCCCCATAGTTACCTCTTCCCTGTGCCCATCCCTCCATGCCCCCTGCACTGTCTCCCTGTGCATAAGCAGCCCTTCTTTCTCCCATGATTGTTCTCTCCAAGGAGTGTATCTACTTGAGGTAAATGTTCAACTGATATGACTGTCTTTTATTTGGCTGGAAACCACAGGTGTGGGTTCAATTCCAGATCCGAAGGGCAGCTAGGGGCCATAGTCTCCGTGGTTCCACCAGGCTCTATCAGACAAGCAAACCTGGTTCCTCCCCCCCCCCTTTTTTTTCCTCCAAATGATTTTGAGTTTTGTTCCACATTCTTCTCCCTCTCTATCAAGGGTCTCCTACATAGATCCCCTTCCAAGTGGATGACAGTGATAGCCAGGCACCATCTAGTTCTTCTGGTCTCATAGTTGTATAGGCTGCAGATCGGATGGGGTACCAGTTGCTAGGACTAATTGTTTCCATGAATTTTGGTTTTCTTCATTCTTCTTTGCTGTGGATGAGGAGAGACCCATCGTTG